ACTGTGTTCGACTTTAAGTACCACACAGGAAAATGTTTTTTAGACTTACAGGACAAAAATACAAGAAAAACGTGATCATTTTGAGTACAATTACAATTAACAAACAAACAAACAAAGTAGCTCAACTTCAAATGGAGTGTACATTAGTGTAGACAAACATCCTTTGGGCTTAAAGCATCTCTACACCATGAATAACAAGTTGTGTACTTTAAAGTATCATCCTCTGCGTGCACATACATGCATGAGATCTTTAAGGAGCGAAAATTTGCGTTAAATATACCCCGAAAATAAATCCAGCCTCCATGCTTAGCAGCAACAGCTGCTTCTTTCTACCAGCTTTAGGCTCAAGTGCCTTGGATCACTTTTCCTAGAGTCAAACATGTTCTCCATAATCAGGCATTGGAAAGTAATCCCAACTTGGAACATTTTTCCAGCGCAGCATATCCCCGGAATGGTGCAACTCTGCATCGGAATGCCTGTAAATAGCTTACGGCTGTATTTGTGAAGGAGACTAATGAGGGCCCCGTGGGTACGAGACCGAAAAAACAGAAACCAGCCTTTCTGGCTTCCAGCTCAAATATTCAACATGTTTAATGAACTGAGCAAGAAAAAAAGAGCTGACTGACCAATTAACCAAAAACAGTGCTCTCTCAGAGCATCCCAATGGGGAGAATACTGTACAAGAGGAAAAATATGTGAATCTCTCCCTTTGTATCATTATTGTATACAAAGAAAATCTCAATTTTTTGGATTTAGAGTAAAACCCAGCAATTATGGATTCAAATTAAATATTTTGCTCATTTCCATGATTCAAATTTTAAAGCAAATCACTACAGCACCAATATAGCTTGTTATATAGTATATTTCATTGAACTACGAAATGCTAACATGAAAGATGACAAAAGTGCTGCACACTAGCAAGACGGAGTACACATTTTGGCCACAAAATAATAACAAGGACATATTACAACACATTTTCATTCCTTGTAACAAAACAAAACTGAAACATACTGTGGACCAAATGTAGTACTGTGCAAAGGTGTTCATCTGTGAAAAGGATAGGTAAAATTTATCATGGCAGTAAATATTTATTTGTTAAAAAACAAAACATTAGCTATTAGAACAAATGCTAAGATTGACAATACATGTTTTTTTCAAGTCTACCAGTATGTTATAGAGATCTGCACACAGAGCTGAACGATTTGTTAAAAATATCTAATTGTGATTTTTCTGACTGATATTGTGATTTAAATGTGATTATTTTCTGTAAATTAAGCTCAAATTCTTTTTTTTGGCCTAGATGTCCAGCAAATGCATTTTTTCTGGATTAATGCATGAACGCTGAATCTAGTGTGCCAGACTGCTAGTTCACAAGCATTATTAGGTTACATTTCCTCTCTTAAAACCTGTTAAGACAACTGTGAATTATGTAAAATACAACTTTTACAACTTTTACAATTTGATTTGCACTCTTTCAGATTTACATAAAGCATATTCTATCAAATAAAAACAAATCTACTACATAATAAAATCCCTCATTAGAAAACAAACTGACCCAGTCCTGAGGCTGATGTTGTATGTAACAAAGGCTACGTTCACATTACCAGGTTGAAGTGGCACAAATTTGATTTTTTGCCCTAATGCAACTCAGATATGATGTTTTCAGGGCCGTGTGGACATGCAAATCTGATCTTTTCAAATCCGACCTGAGTCACTTTCATATGCGGTCCTAGATTGTATATGTATTGATTTGTGGCCATGCAACCTTAATGTGAACGTTCAGATTGGAATTCATGTGCGTTTTTTTCAACTGCGCATGCGCCATCATTCAGCGTTACCATGGTAGCAGTGCTGAACAGAAATTAAAGCCTGTAAACGGTGGAAAAGAAACACATCTCACCTTTTCCAACTTCGTCTCGCTCTAATAATGAACAGCTGAGAGCAGTTCAGAGTTAATTATCTTCGCAGCTAAGGCTCGTTCTGACCGTTAGTCTGTTTGCTGGTGATGCACGTGACGCACGTGATTTATTCACGTGAAGATACTGAGTAAAATGTGCGCATCCGGGTCATTTCAGGATGCCGGTTTGTTCACATTAATGACAGATTTTAATTACTTACCTAAACGAGTGTGAACCATCGTGTCAGAGAGATCAGATATGAGTAATGAGGCTTGTAATGTGAACATAGCTAAATTGGCCCAGACTGGGCCCAAAATTTATTTTATTTATTATGTATTTATTCTAAACACTAGGGGGCAGTCACGGGCTGGAGGTCAGGGAACCAGCCTTGTGACCGGAAGGTCGCCGGTTCGATCCCCTCAGCTGACAGCTGATCATTTTTAACAAGTTCTTGTCTGCCTAAGGCATTTGCTTGAAGCATCTGAAACATATCTAACAATAATTTAGCTCGTAAGAGTCAAGACTGACTACTTCTTTTTATCTACACCATTCAAATATAATTACATACTGTGTTATGCAATGAAATACGTTTGCAAGAAATGACAAAAACATAGCAAAAATGTTAAGAATGTTTTTGTCTGCACAACAATAACTTTAAAATGTCAGCTTCCACTTTTGAACACAAGCACAGTATTGACTGAATGTTTAGAATCTATGCTTTCAACCTAATTTCTCTGCTTGTTTTAATAAGCTAATTATTCATAATGAAATAATTACTATCAAATTACACTACGCTTTTATCATCACTAATGATAACTTCTAAAGTTTCCTTAAAAAAAGGCGGATGAATAACTGTATGAAGTTTGGAATAACGTCCCTGACCTCAGCCCTGTCACTGAGGTGACAGTGTTGAGGTAAGCTGGGCTGCTGTGCAATGAGCCCTAACTACTCTGATCTACTGTGCTGTCATCCATCATCCAGCCAGGCGCTCAGCCGCCATGCTGCTACCTGACCAGGCGTGAAGGCAGGTCCTGGACATGCGCTACCACTCTTCAGTTCCCTCCTGTGTGGAGGATGCAGGGAATGGCACCTGAGGTGATGATCTCAGTAAAAAGGAAGCTTTGAATAGCAGGTATTTTCATAGTTTTAATCAGCAATTGCCTACAGCAATGGCATGATACTTAACCCTATCAAATCAAACTACTTTCAATGATACGTTTAGAGATTCGTTCAAATTTGCAACCAGAGAAGCTGATGCATTCAATGTGTTCATGTTAGCCATGGTTAAATGTATCAGCATGTAGAATGTGTATCAGTTGAGTGTATATCACTGTATAAAAGATGCACAAGGCTTCCTTTTATTGTTAGATGTAAGCTTGAGCCAATAGTTTCCATTGATCGCCTGTCAACTGTCAATCAGGTTGGAAGATATAAATGTCTGAAAACACGGCATCTGTGGATTTAAGGTGCCCAAAGTAATTACTTCTGCCATTTGTTTTTACTTAATGTAACATTAGTCCAGGTCCTCAGCCATCCCTTATATTGGCTAAACATTCAAACTGAACATACTGTCTTTTTAAAGTTATGTTTTATATATATCAAATACATCTAACAAAAGCTTCAATTATGTTATTAGAGAAGAAGAGGTTAAATATGATATTATTGGTTCATTATTTCCCTACCTGCTGGTGCATTTTTTCACTTTGCTTGCTGCAGTTTTACAGTGATTGCTTCAAGAAATCTTTCAAATTTAAGCCTAACTCTTAACAAATTTTACTGAATCTGTCCGTTAGCCCCCTGTGAGCCAGAAGGATAAGCGGTTTAGGAAATTGTGTGTGTGTGTGTGTGTCTGTTAACCTGTTAACAGTCTGCTGAGCTGCTTGTTAAACAACAATGGGTTCTTAAGTAAAGTTAAGTTCCAGTATCCTTCCTTTTACTTCATGCACTCAGCTTGTGACAGCAAACATGCATGATTCATATATTCATGAGCATTTTTTCCTTCTCTGTGCAGGGTGGGATTTGATTTTTCATCTTCTCAGGGAGGAACTGTTCTTTATCTGCTCCTCCTTCTGCAATGCTGTAGTATCACGTGTATCAGGTGCATGACAGCATATTAGAAGCTTGTGAAAGCAGAGCTACTCTAAACCTCAAAAAACATCTGTGGTGAAACTGCAACTTGTTTGACATGAAATGCAGGGACAGTATCTCAAGTGTCCATGATAATGTTACCGTAATATCAAAGTACAGTGAATTACCAAATAGTGGCCTATTTCCACTGAGAGCAAGCCTAACGTGCTTGGTTGGCTGAAGAACTTCTCCTAACAATAACACAAACTTACCAAATAGGCCACAGATATGGGCCTCTTTTTTCAGAAACCCACATTTTTTGAGCAGACAAGTTTCTTGTGAACCACTTGAAAATGTAATTTCCTAGAAAACTCGCAGTTTTAATTTACCATATCACAATTTTGCATAACTTGGAGCCTTCTTCGGTAATGACAGACCTGGGTGTTCATACAAGTGAACGAGCAATTCTACCAACCTGACTGTGTACAGCGCATTATGGTGACTGTTTGCACTGACTATTAAGTGCATAATTACATGTGTACAAAATTCCATATAGCTGTCATGTAGAATGCAAACATGAATATAATTTGCAGTAAGCCATCGTAGCAATTATTTACTTGCATACACTTAATTACAAGAATCATATTGTTTGACTCAACAGGCAATCACATGAACATCATTAATACAACAATTACAAGCATAATCGCAACAGTCCATCATTGCTTTCAGGCTAATGCCCCTTCCACCAAATGCAATCTACAAATCCCTGCATCCATAACGTTGATCACACTACCCATTGCACCATGATGTGCCAAAATGACATTTACATGATGCACATGAAGGGAGTTCCTTTGGGATATTCCATCTCCCCGCTTATCTTTGGAGCACTCAGAGCAACTATGAACAATGTCATAAAAATCACCAGCATATATCAGTCTAATCATCTACACACATTTCAAGCTGTACTATTCCATGCTCAGCAGGACAAATCGCCCTTATTACAATAACTGCTCTTTGGAGTAAAATATGCCTTACCTTGTGCCTGCATTTTAGAACCACCCCATAGGCTCCTATGAAAAAAGAAGAGGAAAAATATTTGTCGTTAAAACAACAGGTGGGCTTGCATTTGGGTACACTGCAAGCCTCCTCTGCCGTACATTACTTGCAGCATGTTATCTAAAAGTTATTTATACATGTTCCTATAGTAAAGGATTAGCAGCTGGACTATGGTTACCCAAAAGAAATACAGTTCAGTTGGCTTAAAAATCTGAATACAGAATCTTTGTTATTTGTATAATTGTATAATTTATCTCCAGGTTTAATCTGTGGACAAGTGTTATAAGTCATGTGCTATTCATTATGTAATGACTACCATGACTACCAAGTACCATGGCCATGTCAAGACAGCATATGAAATTTTGGTTCCACCGGAATAGACTACAAGCACTAGTGAGCCTTCAAAGCATTCCAGGTTGAAACAGGGACAGGATTTTGCATCTGTGAACTCGCTTTCTGCTCAGTCTCATCCATACTTAACTACAGTCAAACACTCTGCTCTTACTAGGGATGTAAATGATTAAAAGATTAACCAGTAGCCAAAAAATAAACACTTGTCTAACCAATGTCAGTGGTTAAAGAAATATTAATTTTGTTTCATTTCCAATAATCAAATTTCTATCTGAATATGGGGGTTTATCTTAAGTTGAAGAACATTTTGTAATTGTACGCACGATGGCGCAAGAGGCAACTGGTTCCCCCAAATAAGCTTACTAAAAAAATGAAGCACGCAGCGAAAAAATAATGATGTTTAAGACTTCTGATGCGATGACGTACCATGTTGAAAGTAAAAATTCATAAGCAATAAGACAGACAATCATTTTGTCCCTGTTCTTCAAGGAAATGTGTGATGTACAGCGGTGTGAAGAAATGTTATAGAGAAGGCTGTCATGGACAGCGAAGGCTTTTGAGAGATACTGAGGTAAACTGAACCAAATATATATATACACATATATAAAATACTATAAACTTTCTTAATGTAAAACTTTCAGTAGCCCATAATTATAGCCCATACTTATATATTCCAATCATTTTCCAATCACTAACTTTTTAGTCATGAACGTATTATACTTGTCAGCCTCTTGGGTGAACAAAGCCAGGTTATTATGTTGAGCTTGTTTATACACATACACATGCTTATGCCTGCTCCCACTTATTACTGCTACAGTTCCAAGTGGAACACTACTTAATATCTTGCTGCATTAATACAGAATTCAGTTGTTGTGTGCGGTCATAATTGCATATATCAAACATTTTACATCAGCTTCAAACGTGGCTCAGCCAATCACATTTCAGAACAGTCCTTAATTTTAGGCTTGCTGGTAATGTTTAATCACTGATTAATGATGGCCGGTTGTCCTTCTTTCTAAACAAGGCAAGTAAAATGACAGCAGATACAGACTACTGGGATCAAACATCCAATTATGAGCATTTACGACAGTTCCAACAATCTGTGTACAAAGTTAGATATCAACAATTGGGTAGAGACAAGGCACTTTTTCTTTGTTCACAAATCCTGCTCATAATAAGGATGGGAACACTGAGGCGACAGACAGAGAGAGAAAGATGGCCATCAGGCCTTTCACCACCACACACAACTACACAGTCCACCATAATGAAGTAGGAGAGAGGCTCCGATGAAGTAAAGCATTCTTGGTTTGCGTTTTGGAGCAGAGCCAGGGAGCTGAGCTATGTAGAGGACACACGCTTCGGTCTGGCTGACTGAGCAGGGCACAGAGAGCATGGAGATCCATGCCTCATCGCCCGTTAAATGGGGTTTGTGGTGGTAGAGTGTGAACAAATGTACTCTGGGCTTCACATCCTTAGAGTGAAAATGCAGACATACTCTAGTTCTCTATAGTGAGTTTCTTTCAGAAATTATCTTGGGAAATGTTTTAGGAATTTATTTTGGTCTGTTCCAGTTGCCAAATTCTCACTTTTATAATTAAAATATGATGTAATTGTATTATTTTTCATTTTCATTTGCCAAAGTATGTTCTCATAATGCATCACCACAGAAAAGAAGACTCTGTCTGAACACTGAGCAATATTCAATGCTTGGACAAAATGTTTATTCTTTTCAACATTTTGTGATGTTTTCTGTGAAACTTTTATTATCCTATGCATTATGATGCTGTTATTATATTATTCACAGCAGTTCCATAAAGCACATTTTTTCTAACACTGAGCTTTACGTGCACTAAGATTCACACATATAACATTTAGGCACTTAATGATTTAGCAATTAATTAGTTACTGAAGGAAAACACTCATGATGTAACATATATCATTAGCTTCAATGAACCAAAGGTTGTTTATGGAGTTTAAAAGCATGCATCAGACCTATTTAAGCAATACAATCCAATAAAAGATGGGGTGAGAACCTTCAGGCCTCTAAACTTCACCAGCAGTCACGTATCTGGACTAATGACATTTCATATTGATAACAGAGCTGCATAACATGTTGCTTGTTAATCACTGTTGTAATATTGGCCTTTGCAATATAACACAGCAGGAGATGGCAATATACAAATGAGCCTCAAACACAAACTATAGCTTTTTATATTGTGTGTTACGGATATCCCAACCAAGCTGAGATGTTCCAGATGTGTTACTGTGGATGCATTAATGAATCAAGGCTTTCATGTGGTGCAAAAAGGATAAATCCTTTAATAATAATGCAGGCCAATCATTTATTCAAAAATGTTTTTAAGGTATCAAAAGGCATTTGCAATGCAATTGCACATGTAGCAATAAAACTGCAGTACTACAATTAGTATTTTAGTGCATATTGCAGCCCTAATTGAAAGCAAACACTAAGCTTGGATGATAATAGAAATTTAGACAAGTGATTATTGTCTGCAGAATTGTCACAATAAACGATATCATTGTGATCCAAATTCAGTGACGAAACACCACATGAAAGCATTCAAGGGTCTTGATGTTAATGTACAATATTATTATCAGCTAGGGTAGCTTCTAATACACCTTAATCATTTATAATGAGAACTATTTTCTGTACAGACGGCATGTAGCACTGTTCAAATCCAGTGCTTCTCCTTGTTTGTTTAGTTGGAAACCAAAATATTGCCAAACTGGTGCATTGGCACCCTTTTCTGGACAGGCTTGTCCATTTTACTCTCTACCCGAGAGTAGATCTCATGTAGCAGAATTTCTTTGTTTCATTTTCATGTCGCCCAGCATTTTCTGTCACACTAAAAATGCACATTATAATCCTTACAAGCTACTTTTAAAGTGTGTAGCTAATTAGTTGATGTTATGTTCATATAGTGTATAATTAGGTGGAATATTTTCTATTCTATATATTTTTGAATTAACTTTGGACATTATAATAAGTAATTGTACTAACAGTAAAGTTAAATAAATGCAAAGCAACAAAAAAAATCCTGTGGTATGTGAATGAGAATGAAAAAACTATATTTTGCATAATATCTGAATTTTTTTAAATTACTGCTATGTTTGATTATATCATCAGCCCAGGGCTAGAACACAAAGACAGCTGCACGGTCTAAAATATACAGCATTCATGTCACACTCACCCTCTCCTACAATCCCAAGGACCTCAAATTTATTCATCACATCACCGATGAGACGAATCTTCATGAAGTCGAAAGGCAGGGGGAAAGGCGCGGGTCCGCGACAAGAGGAGAGGGGATGACAGGGAGGTCAGGACACACACCAGCGGTCAGCACTCGAACGGGTCACTGGAGCCAGAAACCTGTTCCCTTTGGGCCACAATATTGGTCCCATATTCCTAACATTCACTTGCTGAAACTAACATTCACACATGCACATTCACCTGTAAATGAAAAAGAGAAAAGTCTGGTTAGGAGGAAGAGAGGCCAAACAGGACTTTTCTTGCATACTGTTGATTAAGGCATGCAGTTTGCACAAAGCTAGTGTTGCAAGCCAAAATTTTGCCTCTTTATTCTGCCAAAAATCGCCTACTTTGATGGGAAAGGCCACTTAAGCGACATGCGAAGTAACCAACCAGAGAGCACCGCTGTCGCATGACAACTAGGCATGGGCCGGTTGACGTTTTAAAATATGACGTTTTTAATGTCATGAAGACAGCATGAATATGAATTTTTTTGTTACATGTTAGCATTAAACTAACAACAGGGGAGTTTTTTTTAGATACTACGACAAATGAAACATTTAGGTTTTTTACTTTGTATGTTCCAGATTTACAGTGATTCTTTCTGGAAATATTTCAAATCAAAACTTACATTTGAATATTACTGGATATGCCTGTTAGCCCATTAGCACTCTGCCAGGCTGCTTTTTAAACAACGTCAAGTTCCGTACGCTTTTGTGCCTTTTACCTCATACACATGGTGACTACAAACATAGGTGTATTTGTAAAACTGAAAATTTTCCTCCTTTGTGCTCAGTGCCATGTGAGTTTTCACCTTTTTCAGGTAAAAGTCTCTGTCTGCTCCTCCTTCTGCTGTGCTGTGGCTGCTGTGACTGTTTACAAGCTTCACTCAGAGAGGAGACTGCATCATGTGATCAGACTGTGACAGAGTAGTAGGAGCTTGTGAAAGCAGAACTGCTCTTTGCCGTGCATGTTTAATATTGTGGCTTGCCCAACTACTGCTTACCGGCTCATGTCTGTGCGTGTGACGTGTGAGGGCAGACAATATTAAGACAAGGCTACGAGGAAAAACAAACCTATGGAAACACACAACAGTATGCGTCGGCAAATGTGAGGATAGCTACTAAGTGCATCAAAGAAAGCCCTTGAATAACTTTTAAACATACTGTGCCATGAACTTCACAATTTATTTTTAAATACAGCAACTACATCTTGCTCCGAAAAGATCAGGACAGACTTGCAGAGCTGCTTGTAAAAGTTTGTGTCCTACTGAACGGCAAAAACTCACTACATGAAGAGCTTTCACACAGACATGTGGATAGCCAATTAGAATGAAACTGACAAAATCCAAACACTTTTAGCCAGCTTAGCGTACATTTGACATCAGACGCTCCATTTACGTGTGGGCAGAGCGTCTGAAGCTGAGACTAGCACAAAGCTAACTGCTGGCTTTAACCTGCCATTACTTGTTAGCAACATCTGCCTGTAGCTTCAAAGCAAAACAAAGGAAGCAAACTTCAGACATCAAACATGTCTTGCCTAATCAAATACAGTTGGGGTTAGGGGTAAAAGTGTGCAAATCTGATTTTGGGTCGAATCATCGCTTTAAGTTTCCTTTATTTCTATGATCCTTTAATGATGCCATTCTAAGCTCTAGAGGTTCGTACTGACATCAGCTGTACATTAATCAGCTGTTGACTGCTGATACATGAATGTGTTCCAATTTTGAACATTTCTTGTTTTGTGACCATGAAATTATTGACTGTCGGTCTAATGTCGTCATACGACACACTGACACACACTTCTGCTGACTCAAACGTTGCTGAAAACACTTAAAACGCTCAAGAGGCAGCAATCTGAGTACCAGTACATTTTCATCACACATCACTGTAGAACCTTCAAGGAATTCTATCATTCCTGGAAGGCAGAGCCACAGTTGCAGGCCGTGCCGTGGCTACTAGGCAGAACACAGCCCAGTGATTCTAATCAAAGCAGGGTGGTGTGGAAATGTGTTTTCCAGCTTGAAAAGATCAAATGATAACCATATGCACTGCAGAGAGCAGGCGAACAGGTACACCTGACTGCTTTATTTATGGGCAGCATATGCTCCACACATGGTTTAGACTGGGTTATCAGGTTCTGCATTCACAGCTATAGCCACCTTGCATCCAACGCTTTGTCTGCTGTTTTCTCCCCTCTTGGCCACAATATCTCATCTCGCCTTACTGTGTTGTGATGACTGGAGTCCCTCTTGGTAGAATGATGAGCTTTGCCATATCTACGTCGTACGAAGGCGAAATGCTGCTCCACACCAACGGCTACCTGTGTGCATTTAACGCATGTAAATGGGAGCGTGCATCTGCGTTATTATCTGTATGCGTGCGCGTGCGTGCATGCGCGCACTTGAACGATTCGTGGGTGGATAAGAGTTCAACCGTTACATTCTATGTGACAGCCACAAATCCCGTCCATCCTGCCCGAGTCTGAGGATGAGGCTGAGGCTGAGGACGATGATTATGGGGATGATGGGGACGCGCGCGGGAAAGCTTGTTGCACGACACACCATCTTCACGCGCTCTCCCTAACGGGTACAACGCATTCAGAGAGCTACACAAGCGATGTAACATCCACCAACGAGGAATTTTGGCTCATTTCAAAAGCGCTGTGGTTGAGGAGGGCTAAAAAACACACCGAAAAGCCTCGACATTCTGAGTTGAGAGTATTCGACTCGTGTTGTCCGTGTGTGGGCAGGCAACGCCACAGATGTGCTAACGTTCGTCTCCGTCTGTGGAAAAACCACGAACTGTGAGGGAAAACAGGTGCCACGACAACATACACATCCCTTCCCAAACAAATCAAGAAAAAAATAAAACGACGGTATAAAACTCACTCAGGTCCTCGACGGCAGCACGCTGACTCCGCACTCACGGGCGCGGAAGGATGTTTTCATCCTTTACCTGCAATGGTAACCCATCATTACAGCTGCAACACTATCCACCTCCATTCCGCTCCATTCACCACCTACCAGCGCCAGAGCCACAGCCGCGCCGCGATGACTGACGTGGCTGTCGGCCGATCAAAACGCCCCGCGATCTTCTCGTCGTCCAATCGTAGCAGGAGAGCGGTGAGAATTAGCCAAAGGGGTGGGACTTTAGGTGGGGTTCGGTTGAGCGGATTTTTTTCGTTCTGTAAAACTGACAGGGTTAAAAAAAAGGTTGAGTGACGTTTCCATCATACCGTGTGAGTTGATGTATTTAGTAGGTACCAAGCTTTCAGAGATGTCACAATTTGGTAAATATGTCAGTTTCAAAGGTATTAAATAGATGAAAATAAAAAATACATGCTTCACTCAACTATGGGTGAGGGGCTACCAACATTTATAAACAGGAAAGGTATTCCTATTTATGATGTAGAAACACTCAACAACACAGCAATCTCTTATGCTAGAAACCTAACAGTAGTTTATTACTTCGTTTAAATATCAAAATGACTCCAATTAATTAATTTTTTTTTAAATAAAGGAAACTTTTCCTTAATAAAATGCAACAACAATAATAATAATAATTTGTATGTAATGTGTTATTTTGTTGTTGCTACATAACACATATTATATGATATTGTAGCATTACAGTGAAATTTATAGCTGTAATAATACTTGTTAGTTCTTCTTAAACATTGCAGTTTTAGTGTTTGCTTAAAGATTTAATCTCAGATAAACTATGACGGCTTAATCAAAAAGGCCAAAACTCCTTTGAAGCTTCCAACTTCCAAAGGGAAATTCCACAGATTTTTCAAATATTCTTCAAGATTAAATGGTTAAAATGTAAATAAATTATTCAGTGCGGTTTAATGAGAAATGCAACAAACGAGAGAAATTTACCAAATCAGAATAGTTCACAGTGGTGGTGATGGGAACCAGATGTTTGAATAGATTAATGGCTCTAAAACCTCACACAAAGTTATTCAATGAAATGGTTACAATGGTTATCTGAGACATTGTTTTACGATAGGCGTTATAAAGAAATGTCATTTTGAAGCTTTACTAATACCATTTATCAGTACAATCACTCAACCATTAAATTATGTAGAAATTTTGAAAAATCGGTGGAAGTCCCCTTTAAAATAACTGAGCCTTGCTTGAATGCGGAGCAGCGTCATAATGAGGCCCAAAGCTGGTGTGCAGTTCCACCTAGCGACCCGATATAAAACTGCACCCACTTATTTAATAACCTAATCTTATAAATACCGTTACATAATAATAATATATAATTAAATATAGTATTTTAGGGAAAACATGTCGTAGTTAAAATTTCCAAAATAAGTGTTGAAAGCTGTCAAATATGATTAATAAAAAACAACACTATTATTATTGTGCTCGGTTGATTCTTACACAAAGAGTTAAAAGGGAATTCCACCGATTATTCAAAATTTCTGTATAGTTCATTCATTGACATGTAAAACAAAGTCGCTCAGATGTGAAATGATTTATTGTAGAGAAACATGCCAACTTAGATGTTTTTTTTTACAGTGGTAATTACAGCAACAGTGGTAGTGACTATTCTATTTAATATTCAAAACCACCAGTGAACCCACACTTGTTTTCTGATATTTTTATTTGTGTTGTTTATAATGGTAACATAGAGGTAAATCCGAAATATGCTGGGAAAAAGGTTTTTTGGGGGGGCTATTTTGCCTCACAACGCCATACATGTATCCCTCTGCCATGAATGGCTTTTAAATGTAAATGTATATATATTAACTCTCTGTGAGCGCGTTTAGAGGCATTAAACGCTTCAGACGTTCGGTAGCTATCACCACCACTGTGAACAATTCTGACTCGGGAAATTTCTCTAGAACAGAGCATTTCAAATCAAACCGCTCTGAATGAATCTGTATAACATCTTAATCGTTTAATTATTCCGAGATTTTGAAAAATCGGTGGAATTCCCCTTTACACAGAAGGTAAACTTCCTCGGTAGACTTACTCATTAGACTGTTGTCTCTGCCTTGGGGTAAGCTCTGCTCTAATACACTACTGTTTTGTTTGTTTGTTTTTTTTAATTATTGTATTTTTCAAAGTAACGTCTGTTTGCTGTGGTTTCTTTTTTCTTTTCTTTTTTTTTGCCAGGTGTGTCTACAAAATGTAACGAAATGTTGGGCAATGCATTTCATTTAGAGAGCAGTCTGCTGTTTGATTAGTTGTGACAGTGTGGTCGTTTTCCTCTGAACACCAAAATATAGGGATTATCAGCGTTGGTCATGTTTTGGATTAAAACTAGTTTCGGGCACATTTATTTCAAAATAATACTCGTTTAGACGTTATCCGAGTTAGACTCTATCTGAACCACACTGAGACTAAGTTTGCAGTCTGCTGTGGAACCGCCTGTTCCTCAGTGATCCTGCTAAACTGCAGTAGCTGCTTAATGCTGGACATGCGCGGATGGGCTAGAAAAATGGCGGCCAGTGCCAATGAGAGCAGAGAAAAGCGCTGTGATTTCCGAGACTAAACGGTACGTAAGACGACTGCCATTCGTATTCTGTCCTTATTTAGATATTGAATCATTTGTACAACATTTTTAGATGTGATTCGGACTAAGTAGGCAACAGTAGGAAGCGCAGGTACAAATTTTGTTTCGCCATGTCTTCCTATGGTCTATGGTTGTTATTCACTGTGCACTGGAGCTCCCTCTCTCTCTCCTTCTCTCTCTCTCTCACTTACCTTTTGTTTATGTTAGGTGGCAGACCATTAATGTGAAAATAAAGGGGTAATAAATGGGTTAATTTTCTCTGCACACGTTTACAATAACAGAACTTCAGCATATCGCCTCAGTTAACCTGATATTCGTGTATTTGTTACGCGATAAGGTCTTTGAGAATTGTCTCATCCTTTCATCGCGGTGTTTCTTTGCTCGCCGTTTCTGCTTTGCAAATACACCAAAAAACACTCCGCCTCCAGTTTCATTAAATGGGCGACCTTACAGGACTTAAATATTTTTTAATTAATGAAATTTAGTGAAAATGTTGGAGATGTATCAGAGCACTTCAGCGCCTTCGTTCAGTCGCTGCTGTGATTGGCAAGCGGAGGGAGTGGGCGGGACCGGATACGCCCACTGGTGGATTAGAGTAGATTAGTGGGTCACTGTTACAGAATAAGACAAAAAAAAGAAATGTGGGGGAAATATTTTAACTAAATATATTAATTTAATTTATAATGAAAAATGCATAGCATATAAACTTATGTACTTATGTATTTTGAGACTTTCACTCACTGCTGTAGTTCCTGTAAGTTAATGTGCTAACTGTGAGAAAGCTATCTTGTGTAAGGCATCTTTTTACTAAAAAACATTTTTGATTTATGCAAATTTATGCATTTATTTAGTCCCAATAAGCCTATAGGTGCTATTGTGCGATGTAAATATGGATTAAAGTGAGGATCAAAACACCAAAAGCAGATAGAACAGGGTCATCCATGGATATTCATTTATTTTTTTTATTTATTAAATTATTTAATATAATTTTTCAGAATGAACAATGATATCAGGAACATGTTGATATTGGCAGATATTTGCTAAAATGTCAGAGTCGGACAGATGTGTAGATTCAACCAATATTTCAAACTCATGTTTGATGCTTTATTTATTGTACTCTGGACCAGCAGAAGGTTTAGGTAATACTTGGCTATTGTGAGTAAATGTGTTTTTTTTATTCATTTAATTGCGTTTGTAACCTTACAGAAATAAATATCAGCATCGACAGCTATGCACATGAGAAATATCAGAAATCAGCCCACAATTCCTGTATCAGTGCATCTTTTTTGTTGTCTTTGACTCACCAGTGTAGTTCCAGTTTGCTGATATACTGCTTTTTTTAATGTAGTCAGCCTTTCTGAACAGAAAAAACACCCTTAAAATGCAAATCTAGATATAGATATCCATTATTAACTTGTATGTGATCTATAACTGCATCATATGCTGCCTCCTGTGTATTTTGACTTCATTCATGTGTTCTTGGCCCCTTTATTGGAGCCTTCAGTTTACTTTAGAATCTCCCTCTCTGGTGTAAACTTGCTCTGTGTAAAAGGAAAGCTTCCTGTGGGCTGAGGACAGAGGGGAGGGCATGGGGGTCCTTCAGTAGAGGGGAGGGGTTCACGAAAATGTAGACATCGTCTGTTAATGGGAGGCCTCGGAATCCTTTTCATGTGTTCCTGTGGCCTCCTGTGGACGCACATGGCCCGGTTGCCTTTTACGGCAGTTTGGAATCTTTATGACAGTTGAGTGAATGGGATTCAGTGTCTAACACATAGAACGGCAGTGCCAGCAGAACAGTGTTTGCGTGGTGAGGAGCAGAAGGTGAATGGAAATGTTGGCGCAAGGTTGAGGAGGCTTCATCTCCGCTTCTTCAGCAGGAGGAATTGATTACAGGTTTGTGTTTGCACTCCGCGTCACCTGGGTTTGGCCTTGCCGCTGGAAGAACGTAAGAAGTGTCTAGAAATGTAGAGCTATTGGGGAGTGCTTTGTTTCAGTTGCTTTAATAGAGCAGTTTTTGTTTTTTTAAGTAAAGTTTACTGTTATTTTGCATAGACACAATGTATAGTCTAATACAGGTCCTGAAAAGGGTTCTTTTATCTTAGAAGAACCACTTTTGGCTTTGTTAAGATCTTTTCGATGGAAGATTCTTTAAAGAACCATTTCCGTGAATCAGATCTGTGAGGAACCATTTTAAAGTTTAAAGAACCTCCTCATGATGTAAACATTCTGTACCAATTAAATGGGTTTAACGATTGGAAAAAAATAGCTGATGCATTTTTCTACAGATTTTAGTGCAGAGTTTAACATAAAAAAACAAAAAAAAAACATTTTAATATAAATGTGCCATAACTTTTGCACAGGAAAAATGTTACATTTAGGTATGCACTGTCAAACTATACAGATTTTTGCTCCAACGATGGGGAAATTTTTCATTTTTATTTTGGCTAATATGTGTTGCAATTTTGAGGTAGTTAAGTGCACTTACAGTGCATTTGAATGCTGTGGCTACACATGAAGTACTGTGCAAAACTTAGAGAACACCCTCTAAGTACAGATTATTCATTGTTTAGGAGATATTTCTTTTAGGACTGTTACATATAAGATAATCCACTTGCATAAGGAAGGGGAAAGACCTGGTAGACCACCACAACAGTTACCATCACATCAACAGTACTTAAAGCTTTCATCTCTGAAGAGAGGAGAAAACCAGACTTTAGACCAAGTCTAAAAAAATTCACAGTTTCTGTCCATCCTTCCTATGTGAGAAGACAACTCTAAGTCTGAAAGGATGATTAGCTGTCAAGAAGCCTTCACTGAGAAACAGAAATAGGCAAAAAAGAAGAAAAATTCTAACAAAGAAGCTGCTGGTGTTATCAGAACAATGGACTGACGAAATACAGATCTAAACATGATTGAAGGTGTTTGGGATTACTTAGTGCAACCAACTTCTAAGACCAAACTTTGGAGACGTGAAAAATATCCCTGCAGATTTCTTTTTGAAAAACTAAAAGCAAGTCTCTCGAAAAGAATAGAAGCTGTAACAAAGGCGAAGGGTGGACACACAAAATTTTATATTTAACGTATATTTCGGTTTCTGTGTAGTTTTTCTTTTATGTGTGTGTTTTCTGCTTTTTTTCCTGGTGCTGAAAAATGTATAGCTTAATGGCCATTATGACTGGTAACTACGTAAAAAAAAGGGTGGTCTCTGACTTTGGGCCTCAGTAAATATATGAAAAAGAAACCGTTCCTTTCTCCACATCAGCTTTCACGCTGTCTCAGCTGTGGCCAATTTTTTTGCCATAGCCAAAGCCTGTGACTTATCACTCACCGGTGAGAGCAAGGCTTTGATCTGGCGAGTCTGCGTTCTTCAGGAACTTAACTAAATTATTACCGTCAGCCTTCTGAAAAACGCAGAAGAGTGCCATGCTTTGATTTCAGCAGAGCTATTTGAGATTTAGTGACTCTCTTGTCTTTGCGGGCAAAATGAATGGGGTTAAAAAGGACGGAAGCAGCGGGGGGGGGGTAATCCTCGTCTTCCGTAATGCTGGAAATATGGTTTCTGAGTTGGTGTGCTAATGGACTAATGCGAACGAAAGCTGTGGTACTTGCATTGCTCTCAGTGAATTTGGCTATAAAGCGCTGATGAACATCTGTTATAAAGCAGATGAATGTTACACAGCATAAGCACAGTTAGCTGAATGCCTGGAAGTATTGATGTACTGGATCTGTTTCCACCATGTGTGAAATTTCAGCCATTCTAAGTTGAATTTCCCAGGTTTTGCAGTCTAATTTAGTCCTTTATACTTTACTTAACCACCCAATTGATCAGACATTAAAGGAGTACTCCAGCATTTTTCAGATTAATCTGCTGCATCTGTAGCATATGGTAGATTATCATGGATAATAAATTCCTCATATGTCTCTGTACTTAAAAAAATGAAATTGTAGTGACCCCAGATTTACCTATAATACAAAGCATTAGACAGTTGCTGAATTCTGGTGAAGAAATAGCTTTGTCCAAAATGTATTTTTGTAGACCAGTTTTGTGAAATCTCCAGGCTTAATTGGGATAGTGATGATGTGTTGTATTATGGTTGTTGGTATGCTGGTCAGTAGCAATTAAACTTAATATGCTGGTCACTAGCAAACCAGCAAACGTTGTGTTTTGGATGCTAGTATGCTGGTCAACCAGCATGATAATGCTGGGTGACCAGATAAACCAGCATAGATCAGCTTAGACCGGAATTCATGTTTTTTTTTCCGGCAGGGATGTTATCTTCTTGGCTTACCACAGCTACACATAAGTAACCCCACTGCCACTGAATGTGCTAGTTATTTACATCTCTTTCTGCTTCAGATTAGTGTGCAGCACTACACACTAGGGTTGGGCAATATGACAATAATTATTGTAATCGTGATAAATGTCATCACAGTATGTCACAATACGCTTTTCTGAGCATATGGTAGATATCATTGGTACTTAAAGATCATCTCCCAACTGTGTGTTTGTACAAATAGAGCATAATTAGCCCTGTATAATTGTCTTGAGTGTTGAGTAATAATGTCTTGTGTTGAGTAGTAATGTCTTTCCCAACTTATCAAATGTCAGAAAAAAAAATAATATTATTGTGTATCGTGAAAACTTCTTGGAGTATCATGATATTACATTTTTGCCATATCGCCCACCATTACTATACACTCATGAGTATCTAATTATCTAATATAACTGTTTTCGCTTGGTTAGCAAGATAGCTAGCTTTCTAACTGCATCAAAATGGAGGATTTTTGCCAGCAGTCTTCCAGACCTGCCTTGGTCAAGGCCTTTTCATGAGGTGACACAAACTGCAAATATCTAATGTGACTGTGGTTTTGAAAAATTGAGGTTAAGAAATGCTGGAATATTCCTTAACTCTTCCATGTTTTGTCTGGGATGCAGGTGCTTTAGCAGGGGTATTTCTGGACTGATCCATTGTCCTATTGATTGAAGTGCCTGATGTCATCATGGGCAGATCACCTCAGAAAGGTAACTGTTTCACGGTTTTGTCATTTCTTCTGATTTATTTAAGTTCTCTTTGTCCGCTGAATTAATGTTTTTTTATCCTTGGTCAATTTCTTCAATTTCACAGACCAAAAAGATGGCAAAAGGGAGAAGGCAGGGAGTAGCAATGATGCAGCAGCACCCCCGCAGACTGCTTGCGATGGTACAGGCCCCTCTTTGTTTATCCAAATGCAAGGCTGGTTAGTCTACAACCTAATGTATTGTAAACTGACTTATGCTTATCGTGTGTGTGCTTCCCTCCCATGCGTGTTTCCCAGAGCCATTCAACTGGGATGCTTATTTAAAAGAGACCTCCTCCATACCAGCGTCCCCCAGCTGCTTTAGACAGGTATGTTAATAAAGACAGATAGCTTTCACTAACAGGACCATCCCAGAGGAGCATGGATTCTCCTTTTGAGTCTTGGTTCCTCTCAGTGTTTCTTCTTCATAGAGATTTTTTCCTGCCCCATAACCCTCTGTGAGGCTCATTTTGGTCTAGACCTGGATTTGTAAAAAAAATTTAAATAAAATAATATTTTAAAAGTACAATATGGATCATTTAAAAGAAAGTTTTCCTCATAACTCCACTTGCGTTTTTGGACCATTTGAAATCGCTTGCAGCCTGTTACATTGTGTGAACTTTTCAAAATGGACATAAATGGCCCAAAATTATTTTGAATAAAGTCTTGTTACACTGTTGTATATTAAATATTTTTTTAAAAGGAATGTGATCTGTAACTGAATTCAACTTCAGCTAAAATTAGCTGACAACTTCAGCTATATTAGCTATGTTGCTAACTAGCATACTTGCTATCCAAACCATAGCTATACATACATAGATGCTGCATATGGTTCTATATAAACCTATGAACGCTCAAAGAACCCTTTGCATGATTGAAGGGTTCTTTGCATTGTTAAATCGTTCAGATTGATAGAGATGTGCCTTAGATGGTTCTATATAGAAACTTATGGGAAAAGGGTTCTTTGCAGCACCAAAAAGTGTTCTTCTGTTGTTACGAACAGAAGAACACTTTTTGGTGCTGTATAGAACCCACACAAAAAGGTTCTATATTGAACCATGTAAAACACATTCTCCATCAATCTGAAGAGCGCTTTCATGATGCAAAGAACTCTAATCATGCAAAGGGTTCTTTAAGTGTTCATGATTCAATATAGAAGCATTGTCTTTACTAAGGAACCATTGAAGAACCACCTTTTTTAAGTGTGTAATGTTCCATATGTTTTAAGGTGCTGTACCTACAATGCACACTTACTCACCAATAACAATCAATGTAAATAAACTAGTATAACTATTTCACATCAAGGAAAGATATAGGTTATTAAATGAAATAAGCTTAATACAAAATCAGAGTTTTCTGTGCCTCACCGACCACATGGCCATATTAAACATGAATTGCAGATGGCTGTGATTTCTCCATTATTCCATCACACTTTCTGAGTGTAGTGTTCTTGAAGTAGTATAATTTTGGATGGTCCCTTTCTTAAACTGTGGCTCTGTCTGTACTGAATGCAGTTCAGCTGTGTTAAATGACCACCCCCAAAATGGCATACCTGGCTGAACCCAACATGTCATCTGTATGTGTATCTGTGATCCAAACTGCTAGCTAACTGTTTCAAGCTGTTTTGCTGCTTTTCCTTAAATACTGCATTTTTACTATGGAGTGCTTTGTTCTGTTCTTGAGACTGAAGGCTTTTCTATAATGAAAGTCTTGTTATTTGAAGTCGTATTGACCATAGCAAAATAACAAAGTAGAGGCAAGACACATGCAAGATTGAAAAAGGAAAGTTTTATTCAAATATTTAGAGTCTGAATTTCTCACATGAGATTTCACATGAGAAGTCTTGAGATTGAGTCGAGTCAGTCAACATGCGAGTCATGTACTTTATACCCGCTATCAGTCACAGTAGTGGTCCATCCCAGCTCTCAAATTGTTATAGATTCCAAAAAAGTTGGGACACTGTGTAAAATGTAAATAACTGTAAATAAAAACAGGATGCAATGATTTGCAGATCTCATAGACCCATATTTTATTTACAGTAGAACATAGAACACATGTCAGATGTTGAAAGTGAGACATTTTACCAATTTTTGAAAAACATGAACTCATTTAGAACTTGTTGGCAGCAACGCATCTGAAAAAAGTTGCCATGTCTACTATTGTGTGGCATCCCCTCTTCTTTTAACAACAGTCTGTGAATGTCTGAGAAGTGAGGAATCCAATTGCTAGAGTGTTGGGAGAGGAATGTTGTCCCATTCTTGTCTGATGTAGTATTCTAGCTGATCAACAGTCCTGGGTCTTCTTTGTCGGATTTTTCTTTACATGATGCGCCAAATGTTTTCTATTGATGAAAGGTCTGGACTGCAGGCAGGCCAGTTCAGCTCCCGGACTCTTCTTCCGCAAAGCCCTGCTGTTGTGATGGATGCAGTATGTAGTTAACATTGTCCTGCTGAAATATGCAAGGCTTTCCCTGAAAGAGATGCTGTCTGGATGGGAGCATATGTTGTTCTAAAACCTCTATATACTGTTCAGCATTGATAGTGCCTTTCCAGATGTGTAAGCTTCCCATGCCATAAGCACTAATGCAACCCCATACCATCAGAGATGCGGGCCTTTGAACTGCGCACTGACAACTAGCTGGCTGGTCCCTCTCTTCTTGAGTCCGCAGGACACGGCACCCGTTGATTCCAAAAAGAATTTCAAATTTTGATTTATCTGACCACAGAACGGTTTTCCATTTTGCCTCGGTCCATTTTAAATGAGAAAACGATGGTGTTTCTGGATCGTGTTGACATATGTCTTCTTCTTTGCATGATACAGCTTTACCTTGCATTTGTGGATTGCACGGCAAACTGCGCTCACAAACAATGATTTCTGGAAATGTTTCTGAGCACATGCAGTGATTTCCAGTACAGAATCATGCCTGTTTTCAATGCAGTGCCGCCTGAGGGCCCGAAGATCACAAGCATCAAATATTGACCGTCGGCCTTTGTCCAAGGAATTTCTTCAGATTCTCAGAATCTTTGGTGATATTATGTACTGTAGATGGTGGGATATTCAAAGATTGGTGAACCTCTGCCCGTCTTTGCTTCTGAGAGACTCTGCCTCTCTGCTCTTTTTATGCACAGTCATGTGAGTTGGTTGTAAATTGCTCCTCCAGCTGTTTTTTATTAGTACCACTTACTTTTGCAGCCTTTTGTTGCCCCTGTCCTAACTTTTTTGAGATGTGTTGCTGCCATCAAGTTCTAAGTGAGTTAATATTTTTCATGAAATGGTAAAATGTGTCACTATCTGATATGTGTTCTATGTTCTATTGTGAATAAAATATGGGTCTATGAAATTTGCAAATCATTACATTCTGTTTTTATTTACATTTATTTACATTTTACAGTGTCCCAACTTTTTTGGAATTGGGGTGTATTTATATTTAATGTGATGTGTTTATATCAGCTTCAACGTGAGAGCATTCTCAGATGGCTTATAAGCCATTTTGGAATAGTGATTCTCCATTTATTCTCCTCATTTTCAATGTCTTCAGTCCAGGGTTCCTCCCACTAATGATTTCAAAGCTGGTATGAAAGTTGAGGCACATGACCCACGGAACCCCACCTCCATGTGCATCGCCACTGTAATGGGTACGATGGGAATGCGACTGCGTCTGCGATTGGACGGCAGCGACAGTACAAATGACTTCTGGCGATTGGTTGACTCCTCTGACATTCAGCCTGTGGGCACATGCGAGAGAGGCGGGGACATGCTGCAGCCGCCACTCGGTAAGAGTCATCTTAGCCTTTGTTTCTCGCTTCCTGAAGGCAATAGATCCATTTCCATCATTGTATGATTCAATAGAAGAACATTAATTTACCTATTTATTTGAAATTTATTGATTTACTCAGCCACATCTATGCATTATTGGCCCTCATTCATCAAAGTCACGTAAAAAGGAGCACAGATTTGACCACCTTTAATGACAAATGAACTACTCTGCATCTGATTCATGAAACTTTCGTACAATGGAAACAAGCAGAGATTTGAGCGCAAATGATGAATCAGCCTCGGTACTTGAAATCAAGTACCAGCCTAGCAGTACCTCATTTACTTATCATTTACATGAATCCCGCCATTTTTCATGCAAATATTTTGCTAGGGAACCAATAAAATGATAGCATTCAGTAGCTCCTGAGCCAATGGCTGTGCTTGTAGGCATTGTTTGAGGTCCAGCAGTGAGTGCACTGCTCCCCCTGCTGACCGAACAGTGATAAAATCGAAATTGAATTAACTTGAAAGAATAAAATGTGAAATAAACTAATCATGTTTTTTTAGGCAGTAGAATGATGTGATTGTGTAGTGTGATTATTTTCCTAAAATAACATTTAAACACTGTGTTATAGCAGTGTATGAAATGGCTTCTGCACGAGCTGTGTATAAAACAAAAGCACAATGTAATATGTTTTTAAATCGGACATTTGAACTTTTGGTTTATGCCAACATACAAGTGCAAGTAAAATAAGTAAATCCGCTTTTGTACTGAGTTGCCATGTGTGCAAAGTATAATTGTTATTGTTATTTTCAATACACTCCTACCAGACTTTGATCATAAAGATACGCCAAAGAAGATACTGATGCATAAGAAAACTGTTGGTGAAATATGTGTGCACTCATTTCACGATCATATTTGGCCATACACAACTTTAATGAATAAGGGCCATTGTCTCTTTTTTGGGTGCAGGTGTTATTTTGGTAATCTTAGACCACCTGCCAAACCCAGTAGTTGACAAATGAGTTGATCCAGAGAGAAATCACCAAACTGTGCAAGACTTTGACCCTTCTGGACCAAAATTGAGGAACGTTGTTCTTTAACAGCAGAAATACATTTTGGGGTAGGCCTGTAAAAAAGTGTTTTGGCCAACTTGTTAAATACAATTTCCAAACATGGTAATGTACTTCAGTGTCATTACGTCAGACTGTAGCCTATTCCTGACAGCCATCTTCACCCAACGCTTTCACCCTTGTTGTAATATAAAACAATATCAATCTACCAGAATGCTAGATACACATAATCACAACCAACACTGCAACACCCTTCACTATAGACAATAAAGCATCCTTCTGCTTTCCACAGGCATGTTTGCCCGATAAAGACAAATAAGTTTGTCAGACAGCTGAGATGCACAAAGGCGGGAAAAAACAGCACAGCAATCTTAAAAGCCATGCCAAGGCGGACATAAAAAATGTTTATGTGCCATTCATGTCTTACCTTTGATGTACTGAAGTAACATTAGATGTGTGCTTTGGCATTAGTAAAAGAGCGCTGTAAATGCAAAATTTGCAGAAAACTGGTGACAACTATTTTTTTTGGCTTTGGATGGGTAGAAAATTACTTGCTTTAAGGCAGCATTCACAACCTTGGACATGGAGACCCACAGTCCTGCACATTTCAATATTTTTCTTGCTTTAACAGCCCCTTTTTAACTCACTTCAAGGGGTTATTAATGAGCTGATACGTTGGATCAGGTGTGTTGGGAGCAAGGAAGACATCTGGACCTCCAGAACTGTCTAATATATTCCAGACTCTTACGTGCGCTGTTGCTATGACAGTCAACATAATTTACTTCACCTTTGAATGGTCATGTTTTGGCTGATTGATGCACATGCATGCATTGTTTTTTGTCACATCACTCAAATAGAGCATTTAAAATGGCCTAAGTTTTGGCCTTAGTTTTTTCCAGCTTAGTTTCCATTTATAAGAACAGCAATGAACAGGGGAGTAAAAGGTAAGTTTTTGAAACTTTCACAATGTTTATATACTGCATCAAACTTTTTTTTATTTCAGAAATGTGAGTGAAATCTGATTTCAAATGATCCCTTTAAGTTAAATCCTTGTTCTTGTGAAACATGCCATGCCATAATGTTGATATAGACTTACATACTTTTCTGTGTCCCCAACTCTCTCTCCTCCAGGTTTCAGAATGAATGCCTCCTCTTGGCCCATGTTCCTGTTAAGAACATTAAGTGGAGCTGAGGTAGCCCCGGCCTCTGCCTTTAAAAAGGTAAACACAGGAACTGTAGAACTAAGCGGATTGTCGGATCACATTATCATGAAATCCTTTTTGTTGTCCCAACATGTCTGACCTGCTGTTAGCCCTGAGGCAGTGAGCATGAACTGTATAACAACTTGGATGACTCAGAAATAAGCCAGTAACGTTCAGATTTATATATACACCACTCTCTTACACTTGGCAGACTTACACATGGTCTAAAACGTTCTCTAAACCTTGATCAAAGTTGATGATGGTAGAATTAGGGCCTGACCGATAAGAAAATATAACTGACTGGAAAGATCAGTCACTGATGCTGATGCTGATTTTAAGGAGTGAAGACCTCTGATACCAGTAATAGCAGGTGATATATACAGTATATACAGTTAGTACCATATCCCTTAAACTAAAACTCACAAAGTTCTAAATAATAAAGATTTTATGTATTACAAAATGGGATGTGGCCTTTCTTAAAAGTACTGAATTCAGAAAATATATCAGTATATTATTATAAATGTATTACTATATAAGTATGTATCAGTTAAGTTTTGTACAACAGTTCTGCAAAATAAAGACAAAAGTAAAGCAAAGAAGCCCTGAACATTGTATCAAATGTGCTTTAATATTGGCAGTTCCTTGCACCCAAAAAAGTAGTAACCTTTTGTGTTACCGATAGACATATAACTGTCGCAATATCATGTTCAGCTCAGCTTTTTCAATACTGCCCAGATTAATTGAATGTCACTTTGTTCCAGTCAGTCTGTAAAGCATTTTACAGCCCATCCTTTTTGTTAAATAGTAATGTGTTCGTCTCTGGTCAATTCCAGTTTGTTTAGTTGTTCAGCCATTACAGCTGCTGACTGAAAAGCTTGTTTAGGGGCAACAAAAGATTTGTAATTTGGTGTATATCTGCTGTCTGACTTCTTCGGAATCTGACCAAACATGCTGCAAGTCAAATATTATTTTCTAGAAGCTATCTAATGTATTCCTTTTCTGTTTTGTGTGTACTAAAGTAGAAACTTAATGGTTAACTGCTGCTTAAAGGGTAGAACAGTTCTTTACCAATCAGATTGTGCCATTAGAGTGTAACACTGCCATGTACCATAAATGTACCCTATCATCCAAATGTTTGGAATTTGGAGTTTTAATAATGTTTTTATAAAAACAGACCAGAGATTTTTAACTATTTATTTTCCAATTTCTGGCCATTAGGTACAAGTTATTCATATTTAAGCATCAGGATACAAAGCAGAAAACATATATTTAAGATAAAATTACACAGAAGCCTCAACAACTAATTATAGTATCAGTTTTTCAGTTATTCAGTTTGTAGTAGGCCTACTCTTTGCCTTTAATACAGCCTTCATTTTCTTTTCAGGAGACTTGCTGTCAGTTTTTCAAAGAAATCTGCAGGGATATTTTTCCACACCTCCAAAGTTCAGTCTTAGAAGTTAGTTGCATTTTATGCATCTCGCAATTCAAGTAATCCAAACAAATTCATTGATGTTAGTGTTCGGAATTTGGGGTGGACAGTCCAATATTCTAAAAACACCAGTAGCTTTTCCTTTTATCAGTAACGCCTGTGGCTTTATTCAGATCTGAAGCAAGAGTGGAGCTTGATTTTCTCTCCTTTTCTTTTGACTTTCCAACTTTCGAACATGACTGTATTTCTAAATGTATTATTATTATTATATTATATTGTATTATATTATTTCTGTGTTTCTTTTTCTTCTTCTTCTGGTATTTGGTAGGAGCCGCCGAGGCCCTTGCACAACCACTTTAAACCAGGCATGAAGCTGGAAGCAGTGGATAAGAAGAACCCCTACCTCATTTGCCCTGCCACCATTGGTGATGTGCGCGGACAGGAAATCTTTGTAATGTTCGATGGTTGGCGAGGAGCCTTTGACTACTGGTGCGAATATGACTCCAGAGACATCTTCCCCGTAGGCTGGTGCCAGCTGACCAACCACCCCCTGCAGCCCCCTGGCAACAGCTGTGAGTACCTCCCCTTTCCTCTAGATGGCACCAGAGCTTTTGTTTTTTGTTTAATGAGTCCAGTGGAACCTATTAGAGCATTTCCAGTTCTGTGTGGCCACAGCACTGCAAACTGATTAGGCTAATTTTTGGTGTAGTTTAATTTATTCAGTACCGTGTAAATATGTGTATATATATATGTGTGTAGGGTATTTTCTGCAGATAGTAATGGAAAACAGCATTAAATATGCTTATTAAATATTCAAGATCATTTGACAGTAGAGTATATTACCAATAATATGTTTCATGGAGTGTTTCACTTGGAAATACATCATGGTATGGAAGGAAAATGCAGTATGATTTCTGATTCACATTGACTTTAAAGCTACAGGCATAATATAATTACTGGCATAAATATAATCATTTATACTTTATAATGTCCATTTAATTCTATACTACGGAAGGCATGCTTATGGTCCATATGAATTGTGAAGCAAATGGCATTGGTTATAATAGTGCTGCACAATACAGTATACAGTTGTATGCATAAGTTTGGGCTCCCCTGGTCAGATTGTTTTTTTTCTTGTTTTATTTTTTGAAAGTCAAAATAAGTTAACACATCCTCCACATGTTTTGATATATTTTTTATATTTTTTATATTTGATATATATATATATATATATGTATGTGTATGTGTGTGTGTGTGTGTGTATGTATGTGTGTACATGTGTGTGTATATATATATATATATATATATATATATATATATATATATATATATATATATACCGTATTTTTTTGTATTATTTTATAAATATAACTTTTACAGAGTATATCACTGAAGAGACACCATCTGTGTATAGTTTATAGCCCAGATTTGTGGAAAAATGGGTCGACTTTCAGTAGACCAGAGTTCAGCTTCTTTTCTTATAAGGGTTTAAAATTCCATCACCCGTGTGTTTCACTGGACAGAGGACAGTTAAAGCTCTCGTATGACACCCACTTTTTGAATGTAGCTTATGAAATATGAAAGTTGTGAAGAATATGACGAAGTGCATTTTGGAACCACCGGTGGTCTCAAGGAGTTGAAGAGGTTAGCAGAGCTGTAGTTGTATGATTACTTACACACACAAGCACACGCACAACAGAATATTATCATATTGCCCACCCCTACTATCTGCACAAAGCTTTAAAAAAATGCTGTCACTTTAACACCTATTAGACCTCAGTATTGATAGAATATTGATACACGATTTATACAGTAGCTCAATATTTAACCTTTTATGGACCACATTTATGGTTGAAGTGAATTAATCATAATGTGGCATTGATATATTTGTATGTGTAAAACCCACTTTTAACACATATATCATGAAAAAAGAAGCTGCCTGTAATGTGTTTTAGAATGAAACTCTTCAGTTATAGTTGGGCTAGATTCACTTTTTTTCAAAGAAATCTGCAGGGTTAGTTTGCCTTTCTCACAGCTTCTGTTCATTTTGAGAGACTTATGTTTAGTTGTTCTAACAAATTTGCAAGGTATATTTTGCACCTCTGAAGTTCAGTCTTAGAAGTTGGTTGCATTTTCTACTTCTCACCATCCAAATTATTCTAAACACATTCACTGATGTTGAAAGCTGTACTCTGGGGTGGGCAGTCCTTTGTTCTGAGGACACCAGCAGCTTCTTTGAATTGCAGATGTTTTTTCTTGTTTGTTTATTTCCTTTTCCCAGTAACAGCTTCTTGACAGCGACACATCCTTTCAGACCTGCAGCACTGAGTTGTCTTCTCACAGTGGAAGGATGTGGAAGCTTGATTTTCTCTCTCTCTCAAAGGCGAAAGCTTTAAGTACTGTTGATCTGATGGCAACAGTTTTGGTGGTCTAGCAGGTCTTTATGGGACTTCCACCGGCTTGTCAGGAGTCTTATTTTTTTTCTGTATCTTTTAATAATTATTTGATAATTATTTTATCCAGTTTTGGAAGCTCTTGTTTTTCTGCTTATTTTGCTTTGACTTTCCTGTTCTTTATGCAAAAGGATTGTGTTATATCTAATCTCAGAAAAGTCTCCTGAAAAATGAATAACTTGTACTTAGTGGCAGCTTTGAGGGTGACTTTTGGACAGTATTGTACATTCCCAAATAGACCAATGTCATTTATGCGTGATAATTTGTCTAAAACATCTTTCTGGTATGTAAATATTTCAAAAAAATGCTGTGCTTCGACTTTGTGTTTCAAAATCTATCAGTCCTAGTTCCCAAAGAATTCACTCGCATGGCAGACATTAAAATAAAAGACAGTTGGTGTGACTTTATGAAAGTGAAAAGCAATTGGTGGGATGATTGGCATAGGTTTTCATTCATTCCAATATGACCTGGATAATGGAGGTTAATGACTTAATACATACAGTGTTCACCGAAGCTGTTAAATTCACTACCAAACACCACAAACCTACATTTATGATTGAATGTTTCAAAGCATTTGTAGGCGTAGAGTGAACTGAATGAATGTTCAGTCTGAGGCAGATAATGTTCAATGCTTTTGTGTGTTAGAGCAGACTGAATGTTTTAATCCATGGCAAAGAAGTTCTTAAATCGCTATCAAGCTGTTACATCATTCACTGTAAGCCTTCATAAATATCACATTGCAATATTACCGTCTATTAACAGTATATTATTATTACAGATTAGTCGATTTAATCGTGTTTCAGTACATTTCTTGACTCTGATAGACAAACAGCCACATCGAAACTTGGCTCTAAATCCACACCTTGTCCCTAAATCTTTTTAACAGCATGTACTTAACAGCATACACTTAGCATGCATTTTTTCGCTGAGCAGCATGTATCCCTGTTTCCTGGCAAAGCATAAATCTGGAATGGGCTGCTTTATCTCTGCCTGTTGGCCCTGCGTTAAATGTTTAACCTGCGCCTGAACAGTTCCTCTGGCCCTGGCAGGTTAATGGATGCAGACTGAATGAGTGTGTAGAGTGTGATGGATGGCAGGGTTCATGTGCCTCTCGTAAGGTCCCTATCAGTCCTTCCTTAGTGTGCTTTGCAGCTTACTTCCTGGTGCTGGCAGTTACGCAAAGGGGGGATATTATAAACTAGAGAACAGCCCATCTGAAAATTTATGATAACCAGTGATTTTGGCCATACGTGTATATGGATCATTCTAACAAACTAGTTCAAAATGAACCACTGGCTGGGACGTTAGACTGAAATCCTTTTGCTTTGAGTGACCCGATACCTTAATTATGTTTATTTTATTAAAACAAATGATTGAACATTCTATTTTGCCACTACCTAAGCAGTCATATATCCCTATTGAAACTTGACCAAATGTTTCATTAGTGACAATTTTAGCTAATTTTGAACATAACTGAACAACGCTAGCCAGTACGTGACTAGCAAACACAGCTTTAAACAGTTGTACACACATAAAAATCTAATAATTTTCAGTAACCTTTTAACAGTTGCCCCATTTTTGCCTGAAACGGCATACCCAAAGTAAAAGGAGCTCTGTTTCCCCATACTTTGGGCTACAATCATGATCTCCTCACACAAGAGAATAATTGTATGAATTACTGACCCAGAGTAACAGAGACTAGAATGGAGGTGTTTATTTCTACCTGACTTATAGATCTCTAAACTGATCTCTGACTCTTGCCATGTATCAAGGCCACATGTTTTGGATTATGCTGTCTCTGTCGATAGCAACAAGGTTTTGATCGTAAGTGATTTGCTCATTTGGTGCTTATATTGCAAATGACACAGTCATTACCGCTGTGAATAACAGATCATAAATGGTTTTCGGAAATGGAATCCTGAGATTTCAAGCTTTCAGTATATCGTATTGCTGGATGATTTAATACATGACGTCTAAAAACAGACTTTGGGACACATCTCCTTTCAAAATATCTAACTGCTCACTATGTGGCCTTGAAGGACAGGGATACAGTCTCCCTTTGTCCTCTAAAATGTAGGGGTGTGGCTAAAATAAGGCTCTGCCTTCGGACTAAAACTGTTTGTGATTCGGTAATGACAAAAACATGGGACGGCAAGTTTTTGGAAAAAGTTATTTTAGTTTAAAAATTAAGCTTATGATAAATCTAATTTTTTCTACTTTAAAAGAAAATGAGATATTTAAAAAAACAGCACTGGAAAAAATGCTGTTTTTTTATATCTTCTCAGCTCTTTTAAAGCAGAAAATTTTAGGGTTTGGGACAGCAACCTTCTTATAGAAAGTACACCATAAATGATTGGCTTATTATTATCTCTATTAATCCTTTGGGCTTAAATAGATCATAACTTAAACCTTTTAATAACTTAAGGTCTGAATACTTAATTGTGTTTTAAAGTAATTTTTTTATGGGACCGCAGTTTGAACTAATTTGGTGGAATGGTACTTATATAATTTTAGATTTCGATTTTAGATCCCCAGTAGTTTTAGTTAAACCATGCTTTGGTGATAGATTTGGTTGTCAGTTCTTAGTTGTCACATTGCTTAAAGTTGCACTATGTAGGACGTTTGTTAAAATTGTGAAGTGGCATTGAAGTCAGGAAAAAAAACATGCTAAAATATCATGTGTGTTCGTGCTGCTGCAAGTCTCCTGGTAAAGCCTGAAATTGAGGTTGGTATAAATGTTGTAGTGCTAGGGGCAGAGCTACCCATAATCCTTGCAGGTCTAGTTTCTGTTTATGATAATTTTCTTTGGTTCTACTCATAAAAAGGGCTTTTTGTGTGTTGTAGCATTTTATTCTAAGATTAGGATACATTTTACATATACAGTATTTGGCAGACTTTCTTATCCGGAGCGATTTAAAGCTGGATCATTTTACAGAGGTAGGCGTTAGGAGTCTTGCCCAAGGACTCCTATTGGTATAGCATGGTGTTCTTGCCTAGGTGGAGGATCGTACATCGTTCTACCGCCTGCAGGGCAGCAGTGTTGCCCTTGAAACTAAAACAACAGCTTACATTGTACTAAGTTAGAATCCTGCTGATGCCAAGGAAATCATTACCGTGTT